GAACTGATCTTTTCCAAATGATCAGTACGTGATGTAATGAAAATCACGCATGGGGAAATGGTCCATTCAGAGTATCAGAGGGAATGGTGGATGCTAACGGAACAGCGTACAGAAGATTCACTGATATGGTTTCCATTCCACACGGTAGCTAACCTCTAAGAAAATACCACTTGCTGAGTTTGGCTGTTGGTGTTAAAGAGTATCCACAATTATCTGAAAAGCCTATCAAAATACCCTTCCTTTTCCTCAATTTTGTTCATGCATGTCAACCAAAACAACACATCCTAACAGGTTTAGTTAGGAGCAGATGTAAAAATACAGCCATCTTCTACCAAACAGATTTGCAAAAATGTAAAACAATGGCATTCTTTTCACTATAATCTTATTGTTTGGGAAAGTACAATAATTTTTATAAAAATATATTATGTTACCATAAAATCAATTTATTGTTTTAATTTTAAAATTAGCACATTTTAATTTTTCAGTTTTCATTTCTAATATGGTAAATAATGATAGTATAACCCAAATCAACCAAATCTTTACGATTCACAATAATTTTTAAGAGTGTCAAAGAATCCTGAGACTAAAAATCTTGGCAAGCTAGAAAAAGCAGGAATGTATTTCAGGACATTAGAATTCATTCCTTTTCTAATCATAGTTTCAAGCCTGAAAGACCCAGGCATGTAGTCATGTCTAAGCTACAAGTAGGTAGCTTGCATCCTGAGCTATGAGCTAGGTTCATGGGAGCCTGGGACTCAGTCAAGTGATGCTCAGAGCTGCCTCCCAACAAGGCCTCATCACACTCTTCATTGGACCCTGCTAAACGTCACATTAGATAGTTCCAAGGGGTCCACTAATGTTTACTTACCTTTTATGAGTGAAGTTACATATTCATAGTATTTTAAGGTTGGTCATTTGCAAGGGTCTCAACTAAAGTGGTCGTGAATATCAAGGGCCTCTTCATAAGAATCGCCCTCTCTCTGGAAGAAACTCGCAGTCAAATGGGTTATGAGCACGAATGCCATAAGCGTAAAAAGAGGGGAGATTTGGAAGTAGAAGGGAAAAAGGCTAGTGTTTGTTGCTTATATCGGGAATCCATGTTACCACTTGGCAATGTTGAATTTGGTATTGTATCTTTTTTTAAATTAAATGCATTTTTAATATAAAAGTAATACTAATGACCATGTAGTTACTTACACTATTTACCTGCTAGATAAGTTAATAATTGATGGTTTTCTTTCAGGACTTAACGAGTGGCATAGAATTATCTATAGCGTATGAGCCATCTCTTGCTCACCCACTGTATACCTAAAGATAATGAAGGCGTTGT